CGAGGACTAGGGGGAAGCTTGCGCACTTCTCGATACCTCGGTAAAAATACCGGAGTCATCGACGGAAGTTTGCATATTTCTACCTTGCTCTTTAAGCTTCCGCATTTACATTGATTACATTACTCCTTTTGCGGTAGAGATAGCAATACACTAGCAAAACCGTAGTTGCACATTTAGATAGTTTATCTTTTGCATAGGTTTTGCTAGGGTTAGAAAAAGAGGCCATAGTTTAGAGTTAGTTTTTTTAAGTTGCCTAATTCACCCCACCCCCCTCTTAGGCGTCACGGTCCCCTTCACCGGACATGCTAGTAACAGGTGATGTCCAAAGGTCACAATGTATCAAATCGAATTTATTAAGTGGTCGAGATTGTGATGAATCGAAGGGAAGACGAACATGCCGACCCAATTGGCAAGCATGACAAACATTATCATTCTTTGGTTTAGTGCAAGTGATAGCTTGAGAGCTAATGAGTTTGGACAAGGCTTCTGAGCCGAGGTGACCAAGACGATAGTGCCACAAGGTGGTAGAAGGGACAGCGGCGGCGAGGGCTGGAACACTAGAGGGTGGGAAGAATGGGTAGAGGTCACCTGTGCTATTGCACCTGGCGATCCTGCTCTGTGTTTAAAGGTCCCTCACAGAAAGTCTAAAAGGATCGAACTCGATAGAACAATTATTATCAGTAGTGAACCAACGTACAGAAATCAAATTCTTAATAATGTTAGGTGCAACTAAGACATGATTAAGAATAAGAGAGCGACGTGGCATAGCAAAAGAGTATGAGCCAACATAGGTGATGGGCAGCAAGGCACCATTGCCTACAATGATAAATGAAGGACTAGACAAGAAGGGTGGCCAAGGAGATGAGAGAATACCAGAGTGGGCGGCCATGTGAAAGCCCGCACCAAAATCAACATACCACTCGGTGTTTGTGGATGGTGGCGTCATGGACATCGTGTTGAAGTTGTTGATGAGCGGCGCCTGGTTCCAGGAACCCCCTGCCATAGGCCTTCCATGGGGGGACAGTGGTTGCAGGCTTGACAAAGACAAGCCAGGCGCCTGCATGGGGGAGCCCGGTGGTGCCGCTGGGGAGTAGGGCATGGCGTGGAATGCCTATCGGGGCCTGAACGGTGGCGGCGGAGGGCGCAGCGCCTATCCAGAGGGGCCGGTGTAGCTGTGCGGCCAGAGCTGCATGGTCCCCGACCAGGGATTGGAGAGGGTGGGTGCCAGCAGACGCCATGGCCGTGATTGGCGGCCTGGGATGGACGAGACGCGCGAAGGAGCGGCACGTGCGAGGTGTGGGCTGACCGGATTGCGTGTGTTCTCTTCCTCTCCTTTTTTTCTTCTTTTTCTTTCTCTCTCTCTCTCTCTTTTTTTTTTCTCTTGGGCCGACTGCAGGCCGGCCCAGTTCCCCCACCGCGTCCACAAGCTAAGCGGTGTACGATGTGGAGGGCAGGCTCGGTCCTGTACTCCCGTAGGTGCCCGCGTCACGCGCTGCGGAGCGAGCGGCCAAGCAGCGAGCGGGCAGCCAGGGAGCCGGTAGGAGCACGACTCGGATCGGACGAAGGCGAGCAGGCGGCCAGGGAGTGCGGATGGCGCGGGCTACGCGGATCGTGAGACGGACTCAGAAGAATCGCGAGTCCCGCGTCACGCGCTGCGGAGCGAGCGGCCAAGCAGCGAGCGGGCAGCCAGGGAGCTGGCAGGAGCGCGACTCGACGGCTGAGGGAGGGAGGGAGGGAGAAGTGACCGCGAGTGAAGCTGAGGGAGAAGCGACGTGTCGCTTGGGTCGAGCGGACGAGCCGTGATGCAGCGGGCGCACACACGATCGGGGTTGGAGCGACTTGGCGTGATCGGGTCGGAGCGACTCGGCGATGGCGCGATCCGGTCGGGGCAGGAGTGACTAGGCAACGGCGCGGTCGGAGCGACTCGGGGTTGGAGCGCGCGACGAACGTGTGACGCGAGCGGGATCGGGGCCGACGAATGAAGACTCGGCGACGGCGCACGGATCGGGGCAGGCAAGCGTGGGGCTCAGCGGCAGCGTGGGTGGAAGGCCCGGTGAGGTGCTCGGCGGCGGGCGGGTAGGTGGCCGACAACGAAGTTAGCGGCGGCCAAGGGTTGCGGAAGCACGGTCGCAGGAGCGAACCATCTGTGATACCATGAAAGAGTGATTAGAATGAGTGATTGTGTTCCATATTGTATATGGGGTACACATATAGGCAGCCGTGGTGGCATGCAAGCCAACCACTAGATGCACAAGTACACGACAACCATTGTTATATTTACATCATGCTAACACTATCATGGGATCACTTTCGGTCTGATCTTATTCAGAATGCACAAAAGTTGTCCTCACTGGTGGATCCTTTTCTTAAAGAAGAAATTGATTTACTGGTTAAACACACTTACCTTCAGACAAAGCTTTGGGGTCTGATGGTTTTAATATTGATTTCATAAAGAAGTGTTGGCCCATCATCTGCAATGACTTTTACAACCTTTGTCAGGCCTTTTACAATGACAATGTATGTCTTCAAAGCTTGAATGGTTTTCACATCACCTTAGTCCCTAAGCATGATAATGATATGAAAGTTTTAGACTTCAGGCCTATTTCTCTCCTAAATACCCTGTTAAGATCCTCACCAAAATCCTTGCCAACATACTGCAGCTGGTCATGCCTAGACTTATCCATAAAAATTAGTATGGATTCATTCAATTCAAATCAGTACAAGATGGTGCGGCAATGCTTGGGAGTGAACCATGAAAATAATCAGAGGCACAGATAGGGAAACACTAGACCCGATGCTGGGTCCTTGGTGTGTGTGTTAATCCTTAGATGGAAAAGCTCTATCTGTGGCACTTTACATATATAGCCAGCTAACAATCTTTGGAAGATGATGCAGTGTTTGTTGCATGAAACGACTAATCCTACTCCTACCAAACATGCTCTTAATTTATATATGAATAGTTTGCCATGAATCAGATTTGTCCATGCGAATTGTTGGTGTCTTGGACTGGTCATTTGCTGCCGTCGAAAGATAAAGGTGATGGGCAACAATTCACGACATAAAGTTCCTTTTGGGAGTTTGTTAAAGTTTGTGTGTGCCTTGCTCCCCTATCTCGGCGGAAAGAGGCGCTCAAACTCAAAGGCTGTTCGGTTAACTCCAATCCTTTGCACATCGAAAACCCGGCGCAGCTGCAGCACGCGGGCGGTCAAGCCCGCGCGGCCGGTGAGCAGACGGCGATAGCGAAGTATCGGCACTCCGGAGTCCGAGGAAAAGGTGGCCGGGAAAGCCCGATTTGCTGCGGTGCACCCGCTCTGGCTAGTGCGAACCCGTCCATCGGCCATCGCCCACCATTCATCCATCTCATCCAAACCACCTCGAATTCCTCCTCCCTCCCTGGCAGGGACCGAGGGGCGTCAGAGGCTTAGAGCCCAAAGGCGCGTGCCATGCCGGCAGCGGCAGGGGCCCGGTCCCGGCCCCCAGCACCCATTGCCCATTGCTGCTGTAGCGCCAGCTGCTGGTGACGGTGCCGGGTCGCTCCTACAGAGGGAAAGGACCAAAGGAATGAGAGAAGGATCGCGGTCGTGGCGCCAAGTTCGATGGATGAAAAAGATCGCCTCTGTCGTCGTATAACGACGTGCCCATGGAATGGAATGAAAGCAGTGGAATTTCCTCGTGGAGCGCAAAGGCGCGGCCCGTCCATTTCCTTCTTCCATGGCGCTCGTGACTCGCTAGGGCAGAGAGCCGGACTGACAGCATGTTAATGGAAAAACTTAACCTTTCAGGATCAGAAAGGGTAAAAATACAGGTCACCGACGGACGCACGATTAGCCTAGGGGTGTTTGGTTTGCGTCGCTAAACTTTAGGCTAAATTTTAATCTATTTAGTCACTTTTTATCTAAACACATGAACTAAATGGGACTAAAAAGGAAGCTAAAGTTTAGTCATCAAGGAAAGCTAAATTGGACTAAAAGACAGGCTGCTTCACCTTTTAGTCATTTTGTAGCCAAACATCTTAACTAAAATGAGCTAAAAGGTCTTTTTTAGTCTCTTTTAGTTTACTAAACCAAACATGAGTGATTAAAGTTTAACAGCTGGTTTAGCTAGCTAACATTTAGCAGCTTCAGTCAAAAACAGGCCCTTACCGCGGCATTAGCTAGTTACTTGGGGCAAAGAGATAAAAAGGGACGAAAGAAAGGGTGGTACTGGCCACCGCGGATGCAGAACGACTGAAAGGGATGTATGTGTATTGGGAGGGGAGCATGGAGCCGTCGTCGCGTGTTTAGTTCGTGAAATTTAGGGATTTGGCTATCATAGTATTTTCGTTTTTATTTTGTAATTAGTGTTCAATTATGGACTAATTAGGTTTAAAACGTTCGTCTCGCGATTTTCAACTAAACTGTGCAATTAATTTTTTTCGTCTACATTTAATGCTCCATGCACATATCGTAAAATTCGATATAATAGCTACTACAACACTTTTTTAGAAAACTTTTTGAAAACTAAACACAGCCAAAAGCAAAGCTCAGCAGCCTGCGCCCAACCCCACTTCCGTCCTAATACAGTACACCCGCTGTGTCTTCTGTGTGAAAAAAGCGACAAACTGGCCCTGCCCCTCTCTCTTTCTCTGCACAAAAGAGACATGAGTCGCAGATGAATCGGAATGAGAAAAGAAAAGAGCATGCCGCCGATCAGATATATAAGAGGGAGGGACGAGAAAGCCACCTATTCTGTACACTGTACAGTGAGCTTCAAAAAACCAACACAAAAGAGAAAGCTACTCCTACGCGCGTATAGTACGTACTCGAGAAAAACCGCACAGCCAGCAATGCCACTCCACTAGGAGTAAAAAGCACAGGTTATTATATCCACTCCACTAGGAGGACTCTAGGATTACACTTGACGGCCAAACAAAGAGGGGAGGGAGTGACACAGACACACGCTGCTATTGTAGTTGTAGCAATAGCTGCCGCTGACAAATTTGTCGCAGCACAGCGACAGCGATGCGGGCGGGGGCGTACACGGTGCACCAGTCGCTCACCGCCGAGGCGGCCGCGGTGCTCAAGCTCTCGCTGGGCCTGGCGCGCCGCCGCGGCCACGCGCAGGTCACGCCGCTGCACGTCGCCTACACGCTGCTCGGGGTCTCGGAGCCGTCGCCGTCGCCGCGGCTCTTCACCACCACCACCGTCGCCGGCGCCTCCACGCCGGCCTACGGTGGCCTCCTCATGCGCGCCTGCGCCAGGTCCCGCTCCCAGTCCCAGACCCATCCGGCGCAGTGCCGGGCGCTGGAGCTCTGCTTCAACGTCGCGCTCAACCGCCTGCCCACGGGCAATGCGGGGTTGGGCATGGGCTCCTCGCCCTCCACTTCCTTGGCGGCGTCGCTCCTCCAACAGCCCAGCCCGACGCTGTCCAACGCGCTCGTGGCCGCGCTCAAGCGCGCGCAGGCCAACCAGCGCCGCGGCTGCGTCGAGTTGCAGAGCCAGCCGTCGCCGCCAGCGCCAGGCCCGCAACCGCAGTCCACCTCTCCGAGCCAGCAGCAGCCTATGCTCACGATCAAGGTCGAGCTGGACCAGCTCATCATCTCCATCCTCGACGACCCCAGCGTGAGCCGGGTCATGCGGGAGGCCGGCTTCTCCAGCGCCGCCGTCAAGACCAACCTCGAGGAGGAGAGCGCCGCCATGCTGCTTGGCCTCGGCAACCACCACTGCTCCTCGACGCCGTCGTCCTCCCCTGCTCCTCCAGCCGCGGCCGTAGTAGTACCGCCTCACTTGTACCTGCTGGAGCCTTACGGCGGCTTCCCGGCGCACGCCAGTGGCAGCGGCGCGTTGTGGGCAGCGCCCTCCTTGGAGTCCGAGTCATCATGCAAGGCGGAAGACGTGAGAGCGATCTTGGAGGTGATGTTGACGCCGCGCCATGGGAGGGGGAGACGAGCCAACCCCGTGGTCGTCGGCGACTCCGCGTCCGTTGCCGGGGCGTCCGTCGCTGAGCTGATGCGGCGGATGGAGCGAGGCGACGTCCCCGACGAGCTGCGCGGCGCGCGAGTCCTCCGGCTCCACCTCTCCCACGTCCACGTCCGGCTCATGACCCGCGCCGACGTGGACGCGTGGGCGGCCGACCTGCGCCGCAGCGTCGGCGCCGCCACCGGAACCGACAACACGGGCGCAGGCCTCGTCATCTACGTCGGCGACATGCGCTGGGCCGTCGACAGCAACGACGACGACGCCCGCGGCTTCAGCCCCGCTGCGCACCTGGCCGCAGAGCTCGCCCGCCTGCTCGGCGAGCTCCGCCTCCGCGCCGCGTCGTCGCACGGCGGGCGCACCTGGCTGGTGGCGGCCGCGAGCTACGGGACCTTCATGCGGTGCCAGCGGTCGTCCCTGGAGGTGACGTGGGACCTGCAGCCGGTGTCCGTCCCCGCTGGCGCTGGCGGCGGCCTCGACCTGGAGCTCGGCCCTCGCGCTGCAACAGCAAGGTCAAGGTGACAAAGCTGTTGTTTATTTTATTTTACTCCTACTACTGTTGTTTGTTTCGTACAGTACGCTTTGCTTTTGTTTTGATTCACTTTGCTGTGACTGATGTGTTGCCGTCGGCTGTCCTGTCCTGCTCTCTTTTGGTTTGGTCCCTTCTGTTTGGAGTTTGGAACCCCTGAAACCATGCACTTTGCTATGCTTGGCCATCCATTAGAGTAGACAGACATTCTAGCCTGAAATAATCAGAAACTGGACTAGTGGCTATTAATAGGAGGACATGTTCTCATTTTTCATTTCCTTAGCAGGATTCGGAATCTCCGATGCAAACAATCTGATTGCATGCGCAACTCATATTCATGACAAACCAGCACCAGCCGGTCCGATTGGATCCGACTACTACTACTATAAATCTTGCCGCCTACTGTTTCGTCTTTGTTATGAAAAATACTACAGTATATGCAACACTGAAGCGTAATAGTTGCATCTGTTCTTGCTGTCTGCTGTCTTAGCAGCCCGGCTGACGGCAAGGCCGCCCAACCTGCTCAGTTTCCTCTGCTGGATCTTGCACCCAAACAAGACCAAGAGGATGGCGTGCCAATGCCAACCCTGTGTGCTGAATGCGCTAAGTACTACGAAAATGAAGCATCGGTTGCGAGAGCAAAGGCAGCAGGCACCAATCTCGCGCTGACCTTCTTCCCTGGCTGGCCGCAGGCAGACGAGCCCCAGACGTCGCACAAGGTACAGTAATAAAACAGAAAAACACACACACACTAGCAAGTGCGGCTGATATGAAAATTCAGAAAGAATTAATCTGTTGTCTGAATAGTAATGGTGTCATTCATATTCAAGGGCATTTTTCGCATCGTTTGATTGACGCAGGATGATCTGATGGAGCTGAAGAGGAAATGGAGCCGGCTCTGCCAGCTGAGGGTTCACTCGCGGTGGAACCAACCGACTCGTCCGTGCAATGCAAATGCAACCACCTCTTCTAGCAATAGCAATAGCAACCCAGGGCTGTGCTTAAGCTTTGAGGAGGCTCCCACCTTTCATGGCATTGGCAGGAGCAAGATCAAGCAGCAGGACGTCAAGACCACCCTGAGCCTACTCTCGGAGTCCGTCGAGACATCCGATGAGTTCCACCCCCACGAGAGCGAGGGCATGGACGAGGCCATGGCCAGGCCGGTGGCGCAGGAACCAGATCAGGTGGCGGCAGCAGCTAAATCCAGCGACATGAAGAGCGTCCCATGGTTGTGGACCAATAATGAGCTGCTGCCGTCCGGCGATCTCAAGAGAAAAGCGGAGAGCGTCCGGATGCCGAGCGAGTCCAAGCGCTGGATGGAAGGTGGCGGTGGCGGTGGCGGTGGCCTTGACCTGAACCTACGCGCTGACGACGAGGAGGAGGATGGTGGCGGTGGCAGCAATGAAGACGAGCTTGTTCCGAGCGACTTGACAAACGACGGTGAAGGCGCCAGTGGTGATGTGACTGACGACAGCCTCGATAGCCATCGCCACGCTGCTGTGACCTTCGACTTCGATCACTAAAGTGGTGGTTGCGGTATGGATCGATGTTGATGGTGCGAGTGCTGGGGATGCATGGAGGGAGCAAGAGGTGGTCGTTGGCTCGTTGCTGCTTGCAACGTTCAAACTTCAGAATTGGCGGGAACGTGGAGAGGAGAAGCACGGACGGCTCTGGGCTTCCTGCTCGAATAGCCGAATACGCGACATGCATGTGGACTGAGCTGTTTTGGCTCCCAATTTTTGTTCATCCATAATGTAGGATAAATATATGTCTCAAACTATCAACCAAGATCGATCATATATATTGGCATGCCATCTCTTAGTCTTGTTATTTGTTTACTCGTGAACCCTTTGAAATAGTACAAGTGACTTTTTCCCTTTTTTGACAACACAGAGTTAACCTCTCGACATGTAGGTTCAACACTTCAACATCAGGTCTCCTGCCACTACGCTATGCGGATGTTCTCCTTTGCCTCCGAATGTAATAGCAACTGCTTTGAATTCATGATTTGAAAAACTCCAAAACAAGGAAAAACACAAATAAAATCCTAATAGTATCGAAACACCGTAAAATTTGATTGATAACCAATTCCGTTGAAAACTTTCAATACACCGAAATTTGCATGAATCTGAAGAGAACAAAGGCCAAGTTTTTGACATAAAGTAGTTACTTTCAATACACTGGTAGTACTTCACCATTTCTACTTTCTAGGGATCACAGCGCGTCACATTTCTGAGGACATTCTGTCCAAAAAAAGATACTGTATAATTCTAACTCTATTCTTAATAATAAAATTTAAAGTTTAACAAAATTTATAAAAAAGAGTATTAATATTTATAACACAAAATATGCATCCTATAAAAATATGTGTCATGATGAATTTAATAATACTTATTTAATATTATAAATATTGATACTTACTAAATTTAGTGAAATAAGCTCAATGATTATTTTTGGGATAGAGTCATACCTGCTAACCGTGATTTTTCAGAGTCATACTGTACTAGTACATGTTCACTCGGCAATGCGTGACAGCGAAAAGAGAATTGCGGCTTCCAACGCAAACAAGAGCGCAGGCACCACCCAGTGGCAGTGGGGCTGCAAATTTCGGACCGTCTTTCTCTTTGTTTCTTTGTCATCTGCCGTCCGTCTGTCTTTCACCCCTCCTGTTACTGACCCTTTTCTTGTTTGTTTGCAAGCGAGCACGCACTTTGCAGGCACGCTGGAAAAGCAAAGGAAAAGACGTTGGAATTTCGGAGCGCTGCGGTGGCACTGTGGCAGTGGCTGGCGAGTGACCGGGCTGCATATTATCTTTTACCATAATTTAATTCAAATACTAATACAGATATGGATGTTTTTAATATGAATACAAAGTAGATGTCTCGAATTCAGATTTCTATTCGGATATTTACTCAACTCAATTTTAAGTGTATATTGTTAAATTCAACATACATGAATAAAATTTTATATTAAGTTCATCATTAACCAAAGTGAACTAATGAAAGTCACTTCTAATAATCTCCAATATCGAAGTAAACTAAATTATAATAGATAATATTTAATAGAATAATAGGTCAAGTGAAGAAATTCAAATAAAAATGGTAGAAATAAATAGCCATTTTTCTTTATCAATTTTTTTAGGATTACAAAATTATTACACAAGTAGAGATTAAAGTATTTCTGTATATAACATATACAGGGATAGCTCATAAAAATAATATAGTTATCAATAAATATTTAATAGTGAAATAATCAATTAATCAATCAATATTATATTTATATAAATATTTACCATTAAAATGTAAATTATATAAAATAATTTAAATCAATAACTAATCTCAAGTACAAAAATAATTTACAACAACAAATATATTAGGTTTAAACTAAATCAAAAAAATATTAAAATAAGTTTAATCTTTATGTATCATTAATATTTTTAAATTAATACTAAAAGTTATTATAGATATACTATTAAATGGTTTTAATGCATCATTAGTAATAATAAAATTTAATAATTGGTCACTCGTTATGGAGAGAAAACTTTTAATAGGTTCATGATACCTTATTTTCTTTGCGGATACGGATACTGTCGGTTATTATCGAATATGGATATGGAATTGCATAAAGAAAAACACTAAAAACGAATTCGGATACGTCTATTTAGTATCCATATTACAAACGGATACAAACACGGATATCCATATTACAGGTTTTAGCGGATATCGATGTCGGATAATTTGGATATCCATTTCCATTTTCAACCCCATATATAGGGCCTCTTCGGAATCTTGGATATCCATTTCCATTTTCAACCCCATATATAGGGCCTCTTTGGTACGGATTCCTCCAGCTCCGGCACCGTCTGACACACACACACATTGTAGCAGCATTTTTCACAAAAGTTAGTTTCTCACTCTCTTCCCCCCCCTCTCTCACTAACACACAAGGAGTTACCGGCTGTTTTTTTTTTTTGCTCCTCTCACTTTGGCTCCCTGTGCGCTATAGTGACACTATAGTGTGGGAGCCAGAGCAGGTAGGAGCCCGACCAAATGGACCCGTAGAGAAAACTGAAAATTTGAATGCAACTATAGAGGAGTGAAATTTTGTTGTCCAAGCATTGCTTTTTTATAAAGAAAGCTTTTATTAAATTCTCAAAGCATTACATGAAGATGGTACAGGCCTTGGACATGATATAAGTAGCCTATCGGTCACACCAAAATGTATCCAACTGAGCTAGGGTTTTTTCCTACCAAAATGTATCCAATTGAGCTAGGGTTTTTGCCTTTTCTCTCTATTGCACCGCCGCCGTAGTTTCTCCTTCTCAACCGCCTGCGTGCATCGGTGATGGGGAGAGCAGGTCTCTAGAACCCTCGTCCTTGCGATCCTGCACCGAGAGAGGACGAATAAGGTTTTTGGGCAATGCTCTTCACGCGACTGCTCCTAACTTTCATGATGGGTCGTCTTCCATCCAAGATAGGCGGTGCTATGTCTCGGTGTATTCGTCGTTAGCTGCTCTGAGCTCTTCCTCCACCGCTCATCGACGATTTCGCACCACCACCACCAGCGGCGTCTCCCTCTGCATCTCCATCACCAGCGACACCGTCTTCCTCTGCAGTCGAAAAGTACACACCCCGTGATCTAGTGTCTCTATTCATGTTGTTTAATCTGACTAGTGTACGAGCTATGCTTTCACTAGTGTTTATATTCATGCTATTTAATCTGATGACTAGTGTATGAGCTATGCTTATACTAGTATCTGAGTTTGTCATGATTTATATTCTGATTTTAATCTAGAAATTACCTAATTATTCAACATAACCAACCATTCTTAGAGCGAGGAGTTTGTCACTTACTTGCAATGCTATTGCGCTGAAGCGAAACCAGTGAAGTGAAGGTGAAACAAGGGGAAGGTGCTTCTTGGCTGCAACGCCGATAGCAAGTGGAGGTGGTTCCAAATGCTGAAGCCATTGTGGGACTGTTGCAAGAAATTTGAAGGTTTGCATTAGCACTCAGTGCATACTGAGGCAGCAAGTCGGATGTGGTCCCAAAGTACATACTTGTAATGATGATAGATGAGTTTATACAAACGAGAAGGGAGCTAAGCAATTAATATAATGCAGGCTGCATGGTATAAACAGGCAACAATTAACCTTCCGAAGTTCTAGCACCTAGACTAACACTAAATAGAAAATTATGCTAGATGAGTTTAGACAAACAAGAAGGGAGCTAAGCAATACAAGGATTTTTTTTTATCTCATAGTATAATACCTCTGATAGTATGAATGAAAGGTTTTGGGCTGACAATTGTAGAAACACATGTATAGCACAATCTGTCATTACATTGTAACAAACAAACTGATAGGATTGCGGATCCTACCAGCTATGGTTCGGAGGTTGTAGGGATGGTGGATCGGAGGACGGAAACGGGAACGGCGCTGGGGCGCCGTGTTCTCGATCTAGGGGGAGGAGGAGGAGGCTAGGGCTGTTATGAAGTCTCCCGGCTCCCTAAGGGAAGCCGAGCAGATTGATTGCTCTTGCTTAATTGTTTCAATTCCTTACAATAGCTATATATAGCAAATAATGAAAATACTAATGGGCCTTGCGCCTAACTAGCCACTAATGGGCTTCTGCCTTCGTGCATATGACCGGCCGGTCATAACATCTCTCCCCGCCTGCTGAAACAGCTCATCCTCGAGCTGGAAGTCTGGAAACTGCGCACGGAATTCCTGGAGAGGCTCCCAAGTTGCATCGTCTGCGGGCAAACCACGCCACTCAATGAGGACGCGCCAGATGCCCTGGCGCTGTTCCGCCCGGAGGGCACGTGCCGGCGCTAGGAGCAGACGCCCATCGAGGACTGGAGGGAGTGTTGTTGATGTCGTTGGAGTATCGCCGCGGTGACGCTTGAGCAACCCCACATGAAAGACGTCGTGGATGCGGGCGCCCTCTGGAAGCTGTAGACGATAGGCGACACGGCCGATGCGCTCCTGCACCTGGAATGGCCCTGCATAGCGTGGTCCCAACTTGTGCTTCGCCCGTGGATCAAGAGACTGAGCAGTCCTATGCAACAGACGCAGCCACACCCAGTCGCCCACCGCGAACTCCACGTCACGGTGGCCGGCGTCGTAGTATTTCTTGGACAGCTGCTGGGCTTGAAGTAGACGCTGACGAACCTCGGCGAGAATCTCATCACGGCTGCGTAGAAGAGTGTCAGCCGCAACCGTCCGAGCCATCCCAGGCTTGTAAGGCAGGATCGGCGGCGGGAGACGGTCGTAGAAGACCTGGAACGGGGTGGCACGCAGGGCGGTATGGAACACAGTGTTGTAATAGTATTCCGCCCAAGCGAGCCAATCGACCCACGCCCGAGGCCGATCCCCTGTGATGCACCGCAGGTACATGGCGATGACCTTGTTCACCACCTCGGACTGGCCATCAGTCTGAGGGTGAAAAGCCGTACTCATGCGCAGCTTGACGCCCGCCATCCGGAACAAGTCATGCCACACGTTTCCGGTAAACACGGGTCCCG